TCCACCATGAGCTTTGCTGCCATATCGTCCTAACTTATCTCCAGTTCCATTTGCTTCTTTCCAGGCCCACACCCAGAGGACGAAAAAGAAGAGAAAGAACCAGAGGAAACAACCCACCTCGAATCCGACTAATCTTGAACCCGGAGCGAATCTGCGTCGGCAGCCGTCGCTGCGTCCGAGAAAGAACGATATCCAGGAACTCCTGGCTCGAGGGCACAGGCTGAATCTATTTGAAAGCGAAAATATTAAAAAGTAAAGGGCGCATGTCAGTAACGCAATTAAATATTCTCAAGACAAGCGGAGGTACAAAACGAGAATTCTTGAAACAAGAAAGCCGCCACAGAAAAGGAAAATATATAAATACTGTACATACCTCCTTCCAAGTCGTCTTCATGATGCCGGCTCAAAGGAAAAGCAAAAGGTTGGGATAGGAAGAAGATTTCTGTTAAGCTGCCTCTGGGCGGCGGAATTTGAAAATCTGAAATCAAAAAAATAAGGTTGTTTGTGGTTGGCAAGATGGTTGGAATGGAAGTTTTTCCCGAGGCGGTGGGGGAAGTGCTGGGAAGGTTTAGCCTATCGAGCTTATCAGCGCAGAGCATTGCTTCATAGCTGAGTTTCTGTAGCTAACTTCTATATACTCCGTACATTCTTTACTCGTTACTTGCAAACAAATCCACTAGGAAGCTAATAAACGTACTGTACAGCAGACTTACTACAAGTATTAAATAAAATAAAAATAAAAATAAAATAAAATGCAAAAGGAAATATAGGGAATGAACGCTGCAAGACACACTTCAACCATTATCTATGCAAATTCATTCCACTTCACCCCGGTTTTCCTCATCGCATAGTTTGTTGATACAACAATGCAAGGGAAGAAAACAAGAATATAAAAGTGAAAATGAAACCTCCCTCCTTTTCGTTCCATTAGACCCAGGCGTAAAATATGTTAAAAAGAAACGAAAGACAGACAGCCTCGCCATCCCTTGTAGGTCCCTTTAAAAAAAAAAAAAAACGGACACAACAGCCACGCAACAAGACAAAAAGAGATAGATATATTGTTTAGGAACATTGGAGATAGAAATAAAATGAAAGGGAAAGGAAGCAATGAGAAAAAAGAAATGCAAAATACTTGACCCGACACCACCTACCACTATCTGCCTTGAGGATACACATGATGGAGCGATACTGGATGAATGACGGCCCAACCCTTGCTCATACCACATCCACTTTGATTCCCCCAATATAAACAGAGCGTAAATCCGGTAGGAGCCAGATATATGTGCTCTGCAGAAGAAATAATGAGGAAAGCAACCGTCATTTTCTCTCCTTCGCATTTGTAAGATTCCCCATCTTTCGGTTTTTAACTCAAACGTCTACCATTTACAAATTCCAAGACCTATTAAATACCACGCAGCCCTAGTTAGTGACCAAAACTCATAGGGAAAAACTGCACCACGCGTGAGATAATTAAAGAGATCAATATATATGTGCTATTACATACCATGTTATACCAACCTCCACCACCAAAAGTACAATCACTCAGCCCCCGGTTCTTAAACCCCAGACTCGTATAAAACGGTATCAAGTGGCCATGAGACAGGAGAGCAATCCGATTAGCAATCTCGGCATCCCTGATGCGCTGGACGTATGCCTTCAACAGCGTTGAGCCGAGCCGTTTCCCCTGATGTTCTGGCAGGACAGCGAGAGAGTGCAGTGCGATTGTGGAACCTTGGTCCTGGTGCCCGGGTTGTTCGGACCAGTTGGAACTCTGTAATCTAGATGATGATTTATCTCGCCAATTTGGAGGGATGCCCATGGAGGCGTCGGTTACGTACAGCGCTCGGGTTCTTGTGGCTATTATGTGGGCGATTAACTGGGGCCGGAGCTTTGGTTTGTTTGGTTCCTTTGGCGGCAGGTAGAAAGCGCCTAAGGAGAGCTCGGGGCATGTTGTCAAACGGTATGCTAGCTGTGCAATGTTGTATTATAGGTGAGTTTGAAATTAGCCTCACACGGATCCAAATGGGTGATATTAAAATAACTGGATGGAAATGAATATTTTCACCGTTTCTAGCGAACATCTCTCATTTTCCGGAAATACTGCCTCGACCGCTAAGCAATCCTCCAAATTCGACAAAGACAGGAGCTGGATGAATGGATGAAGCTGGTCCAGCTCTGTTCGTTTCGTAGGTGGTGACTGCCGAAAACAACTCACAAGGTCGTCATGTTTGACCTCAACGTATCCGTCTTCTTTTTCGTCATCTTCCTCATCACTAACCTTGTTGTCCTCCGTTTCGAATTCATGAGCAATGACCAGATCTCCCTGCGATATTGCGGGATGTTGATCAATTGCCTCCCCTTCGATTAAAGGGGGAACTCGGGAATTGGATTGGGGGGGCGATACGGTAATTGGAGAATCTGTGGTGCGAATGGGGGGTGAGAATCCAGGGGAGATATCGTTCTTGTCACCACCAACGGACGACACCACCGATTGGTCTTCAACCTTTGTAGGGTTTTCTGCCATGTTCGACTGTTTGGAGTAACAATGTTTTTCCCAAGAGTAGATGGAAAGATTTGTGAGTGACGAGCTCGCCCGTTTTCCGAGTTGAGGTTTCTTTTTTTTTTTTTGTGCTCTACAGATGTAAGATTTTCTTCTTTCCCGATCGCAGAATTCCCGAGTCTACTAATATTTCAAGAAGCAGTATCCATATC